TCCTGCTTTCCAGAACAATCTATTACCTCTTTAGCACACCTGAGCCTCTATGTATTACCACACATCACATTCTGTTCCCGACCTAACTCAAAGATGGGAACTCACTCCTTGCTTGGACAGTCAATGCTGCATAGACTTCAACAGCTGCCACTGCTTAGAACCAAATTCCTCAGAAATTTGGTCACAACTGCCACCTGCAAAGTGAAACTTAACATATAACTCATCAATATTCATTCCTGAGAAGTACTTATTTCAGAATAGCTTGCAGATCTTATGATGACTGCAACAGGTTTTGCATCTGTAGTTCATGTTCTTGCTAAAAGGAAAGTAACACTCGAGAAATGAAGATCAGCTGTTCCTTCTTTGGTAAGGTAGGACTTAACCCATCTATTGATTACTCAGAAAACACCAACCTACAAACACAGGAGGTTGAAGAAGGGCAAAAGATTGGGCTATGGGGCTTAAAAAATATGGGAGGTAATGAAAACCAAAATGGGGCAGACAGAAGCATGGAGTGTTGCATAGACACTAGGTAAGGCAGCAGCATTGCAAGCTCAAGACCAACCCCCAGAAGTCTGCCTCCAGCTCCTGTGGAACACAGGAACAGAGCTTCCTCTGCAGCCACTGCACAAACCCATTTCAGGATCTGAGGTGCTGTGCTTACAGCTTAGTCCTCCTCTCCCTGGTTACCCATTGCATTTTCTTGGACTCTGCCAAATGCTGCTGGACTACAGCCACATTGCATGTTGGCAACCACATCAACATGTGTTGGCAACACATGTACCAACATCAAGAAGTGTGGCCAGCAGGACCAGGGCAGTGATTGTCCCTCTGTTCTCAGCCCTGGTGAGGTCACACCTTGGAATCCTGTGGCCCTTTCACTGCAAGAAAGACACTGAGGTGCTGGAGCACATCCAATGAAGGGCAACAAATCTCTGTGAAGGTTCTAGAGAATAAGCCATATGAGGAGTGGCTAATGGAACTGGAGAAACCAGTTTAACCTGGAGAAAAGGAGGCTCAGGGGAGACCTAATCACTCTCTACAGCTGTCTCAAGGGAGGTGTAGCCAGGTGGGGATTGGCTTCTTCTCTCAGGCAACTAGCAACAGGACAAGAGAAAATGGCCTCAAGCTGTACCAGCAGAGGTTCATATTGGACAGCAGGAAGAACTTCACTGAAAAGATTGTTAGGCATTAGACTGGGCTGCCTAGGGAGGTGGTGGTGTCACCATCCCTGGAAGTGTTCAAGAAACAACTGCACACAGCCCTTAGTGCTCTGGTCCAGTTGCCAAGGTGGTGGTAAACTAAAGGTTGGACTTGATCTCAGAGGTCTTTTCCAACCTAAACGTTTGTGTGATTAGAAAGCAAAAATAAACAAGGGCAGTTAAGTCAGCAGTAAGCTTTCATGATGGTTGACAGCAATTCCCCTCAGCTCTTTCAGGTGCCATGTTCAATCTCATGCCTAGAACTGCACAGCTGACAAAAATGCTGCTTCTCAGTTCTGCAAGAGCTCAGGGACATAGCCAGTCTCAAATTCCCATGAGGTTAGATTTCTCCCTCCAGGTTCTCACATATATCCATGAAGTCATTCCAGTCTCTGCAAACACACAAAACCATGATTACCATTTGACTTTTTTAAATCACTTTTTTTTTAAGAAGGCCCATGAACACAAAACAGTGCAACGCGTTACAGAGGAGAGTTGCATGGTTCCCTTAGACAGGTGACAGCTGGGTAACACAAAGGTGGCAATACATTCATGCATCATCCCAAGCCACAGCCAGAGCCTGACCCTTCCCAATTCCAGTATTTCTCATAATAAATACCAACCTCCTTTCAAGAGAAAAGTGGGGACAAGCAAAGACTACCAACAGACATTTGTAGTACCCAGAGGACAAAGCTCAGCAGCTTTTAGGAACACAGCTGAGATACTACAGTAAGGGTATACCAGATACAGGTTATAGCAGCACATCAGCTTGCTAGTAAGGACCTGTGTCCACGGGCAGACCCCACTAGAAGGTATTTTAGAGAAAAACCCCACACTTGAAAAGCCATTTAGAGCAGAAGTACAGGAGAAATTGGTAATTCTTTAGGCTAAGGGGTCCACACTGATGTCTCTGCTCTCTCCCACATCCATTTTTTAACTGAAACAGAACAGCCACAACTCTGCAACTGCAGAGCTGTGTGGTAACTTCTCACACAACTTGTTTATTCCACTTGGAAACCTGAGATTTGGCACACATGTTGTAAGCCCTTGAGATTGTACTTTGCTGGCTTTGGAGAAACAAAGCACAAAGCCAGCCAGTGAAAAAATCCTGAGCATACACGAGGGAATCTGCCTTGTCAAGGGACCAAGGCCATGCCAGGTGCCAGGGGACAGGTATGTCAGCAGACAGGCTGATGCAAGAAAGCCCAGCTGGCTCCAGGGTAGAGCCCAGCCTGGCTGCATCACGGTACCACTGCCTGCATGTCACCAGTGTGACAGAGCCTTTGCCATGCTCCAGGAAAGTGACAGTAAAGTTACAGCAGTGACATTTTAGGAATATAGTTAAGAACTGCTTTTTTTCACTCACACCAAGGAAAGGAATGACCACACCTTACTTAACATGCTCCGACAGCATCTTCCATTCCTTGGTATTCCCTTCAAACATGGCATTGGCAGGAGTTTTCCCTGCTTTATACTAAAGCCTTAGTGACTTAACAAATTATGCAAGTTCAACTCCACGCTATGCATCAAACAGTATGACTAATCAACATAGCAACATCTCCTCTCCCCCACAAACAATACAATACACCTTACTCTTTATTAAGTATCAAATTGTCTTCAACATAAATTACATCCAAATTATGTAAGTTTCAAGAAAGTCAGATATTTTTATGTACAATATTTGTCTTAAGTCAGATAAACCTTTATCATTTTAACCTGTAACATAAAAAGCAAACCTACATCAGTACCAAATAAAGCATTAAAAAGGTAACAAATATATAACTTTTTAGAAATGCTCTCAGAACGCTAAAGTTAATGACAAAGATTTTATAGTGCAGCAGTCTTGGGTTTGTAGCTCTTAGACCATCTCTCTGTTCCTGCGGATGGCACAGCAGAGAACCATACTGAATATCATGCCAAAAATCTGTAAAGAAAGCAAACGGATTAGAAATCAGGAAACCAAAGCACGTTCTTCTATCAACACGGGGACAAGCACAGCTGCTCTTCCCAGCCCAGAGGCCAAAGTTACTCTGTATTTATACACTTTCTTCCCTACTCCTCCACCCCCAAAGTTCAGTCTGTTCTCATGAATCCTCTTCACCCTAGTACTTCAAAACACATCAGCCATAAACCACTGCTATATTTCCCAATAAATCTGTGATTATCCCAGCATATTTGCATCCATGCTGTACTTATCTCCAGAGGAGTGAAACACAAGTGCAAGCTTTCTTAGCAGCACTTACTTCAGTTCTCCAGCACAGCCTCTAATTGTTACAAAGAAAAGCAAGAATCCCCAAGAGAAATTAGGATTAAAAAGTGGGCCAGCAACATGACCAATACATTTTCACTCTACATATACATGCACCACTGATATGGTTTCACCACTGCTAAACAACAAGGAGGCAGATCCTAATCCAAAGCAGCAGCAGGGAGGTCTGAGACACCCCACCCTCTGTGCTGCCTCAGGGCCCTGCAGCACACACCCTGATCCTGCCAGGACTAGTCCTTAGTGGAACTGCCTTTCCAGCCATTATTCCACAGACTTCTGCTCCAAGTAACCTCTGAGCATGCAGCTACCCTCTAAATAACCTGGAAACTCACCATTATTACAGCAATGCCAAGGCCAACTGCTCCGATCACATTCAGTTTTGAATTGAAGACCTCATCAATGGCACTTGGGCAGGACTGAAAAGAAACAGACTGTTCATTAGTGTTTCATACACACTAAAGGTTTATTTCTGCTTACTTGTCTGAGCTCAAGTCTGCTTACACTAAAAATGAGCCTCATCTTTTGAAAGCTGCTTTGATCTGACCTTTACTTTCACACCCTTAAACCAGGGATGCTCCAACACAAGAGTCAGAGAACTTTACACTTCAAGTATCTAAATCTGTTAACAGCACTTGGCTACTGAAGGATTCCCTTTTCAACACCTGCAGCTTATCAGGTAGATCAGGACCACCAGCAGATCTGCCAAGCTTGGCATGTTATTAATGGCTGTCAACACTTAAGTGGCTGCACTGCACATCCCTTCTCCAAACAGATTTGAAGCTATTCTTGTATTTCCAACTGCTACTGTAATTTTGCAGACACCTTATGAACCCACAGTGAATGGGAATGGCAGGATAACCTGGGCTGCCTGCATCCATGCTAGGATATGGGCAGATTCATAAAGGTGTCAGTTTGAAGCTTCCAGCACAATGAATTACCAATGCAACTAAAAAGAAACCTCAAAAATAAAGTCCTTTCTCCAGAAAATACGTGTTAGCCAAGAAAAACAACAAGGAATTTTTACAGAGGTATCAATCTTTTACGAATCTGATAGCTGGTCAAAGTCTCATCCCAAGTCCTGTCCTACTAATTCCATGGCATACTACAGTAAGCTGTTGAAAGCTACTTTCCTATAGTTGTTCCTTATCCAGGCCAGAAAGAAAGACTGAATCAAGAATTAAAGGGATAGACAGGCAAGAATTAATCAGTTAAATCAGAATACCACATCAGCACTGCTTCTCAGAGGCACACAGATCAGTCATTCCATTATATCCCTTTGATCTTGCAGTCTATCCACTGTTTTTCTACAGTTGGGACTAGGCCATAAACACACCACAAAATGAAGTCAACAGATGAAGCTAAAACACCCATCAGAATAAAAGCAAACAATAAAACCTGCATGCTGTCTCAGCTGCTCCCATATACTCCAACTCGTAACAGACTGTATAGACAAGGACTAGAGATGCAGGTTCAAGGGTCTCACATGGTGAGATATTTGAAATTGTCACCAAGTAAAAAAAAACAAGTCATTAACTGAATTCCTGCACTGTAAGAACCTTTTCTATGGGAAGACTCACACAGGTTGTCTTGGAGTACAAAGCAAGAGTACATGACAGTTAAGAAAGCTGAAGAGGGCTAGTTAAGAACTGTACAAACTGCCTCTCCTGTTACCTGTGACATACAGACATCCCTGCAGCAATATTCCAACAGGGAAACCTGATTCAGAGAATTGCTTTCACAGTGACATACTCAAACAGGCTACCAATGCATTAACCTTCTCTCCTTTTCCTTGCTAAAACTTCAGACTTGGTCCCACCTCAAACTCTACTTCTCCCTAACCCAGAGCAGAAGCGACAAGTCCCAGGAAGCATCAGGAAGATGCTCTGGAGATAGGAGCAGTGAGGAGAACAGAGCTCTCTAGGCATTGTTAGGGGTTTTTTTTAGGCAAAGCTTTGTTCTTCCACTGTCCACCCATGCCAGTGAGTGACATACAGACTGCACATTTCCTGTGCAAGGTCAGATTTCCTTCTGACCCTGCTTGTTCTTTCCACAGTAACAGTATGTTAATTTTCCACAACCAAAGCGATTGCAGACAGATTGCTAAACAAGTGTGACATGTGAGTTTCCCATGGACTGGAAGGGTTTACTCAGAAATGTGTTTCTCATTCTACTCGTTGGGCAGAGCTGATGGTAGATTAAGCTGTGCTTTACCGGTACAGTGAGTGACTCCAACACTGGCTTCTTTGGACAGGTTTCCATGAACTGCTGCTCAAGACCTCCAGTAACTCCACAGCAGTTTAGCTACAAGAGAAAACAGGAAAAGAGAGCCAGGGTTAAATAATCCTTATTTTTCCTTGGTATCTGATTAAAAAAAGGAAAAATAAATCACATTAGTTTTTATTATAGACCTTAGGCAAATTTGCTTAGAAGTCCTGCCAATGTGACTGCTATAAATCTAATTTTAAAAGAGCCTTTATTGTATTAAAGGACAAGGTTCTGAAAGGAAGAGCTAGATCTCATTAAGTACACACACATTCATTTTGGTGACAGCCTGTATTCCTTACAGACACAAGGCTGAGCTCCTCACAGACATGCAGGTATGCATTCTAGGGTGCCTCGAGCTCAATGCCATGAATCTAGGGGTTCCCAGCCTGCTTCTGAGTTTCTTTAGAAAACCAAGAACTAGTTCTATGCAGAGTGAAAAAAAGACACACTGCATTCATTGACACCACATGAAAACATCCCTGCAATTTGCTACTGATACTCCTTCACTTTCTACTACTTCATAAGGTACACGACTTGTACAGGGGACTGGATGACACGGAAAACAGTGTGAAGAAGTTGCATTACTATCTAGTTTAAAAATAACCACATACTTACAGCAAACTGAAATGCTTTCAGGGTCTCTCTGGCAGCTGGTTGACCTCTCTTGTTATAGGTATCCATGTAGAAGTCCTTTAACTCTTCAATAATCTACAGGATAGCAAATAGGTGCAGTGTATTACTGTCTTACCGTAATATTAATTACAGAAAACTTATTTTGAGCATATCAGTCATTAAAAATTCTGCAGTCTACAATACCCATTCTTTTGACATGTAAAAATACAGGGTGAGAGGGTGGACAGTATTTCTCACCTGGAACAGGTGAGCCTAACTGTACTTTCACCTTAAAAGCCACACCTAACCAGGTAAGACTGTTTCCCTTCCAAAGTTCTGAGCTTCTAAGAGGAATGGGAGAACCAAGTCTTTGCCCACTGGTTGCCCTATTCACTATTGCACCCCAGAAGTTTCTGTATTCTCCTGCTGTATAATACAAGTAGAAAACCAACCCTGGTCACCAAGCATCTTATTTTGAAACAAGACAGAATCTTGACTGCTTGTCAGGGACAGGCCATGTCACTCATACTTCAGGCCAAGAAACATTCAGCCCTTAGCTGACCCAGCTCCTATCTTGAAGTGGTAAGGCTTCACTGATACCCTCCTTTGCCTCACAGCTCAACCAGGTACTGTCTGGAGGGCACCTCTAGCATGCAACAGCTGTTTGGATTCTGGCTTCCCTGCTACAGCCTTGTTTTTAAATATTAGATTTCTTGTATTGTTTTGCTCCAATCAGTCTTCTTCCTCTCCTCCAAATTCCATGGGCGATGAGGATTGACTAGCATTGGTGCAGATGTCAGACTGATAAACATAGGCATACAGAATCACAGAATGCTTTGGGTCAGAAGAGATTTTTAAAGCTCACCCAGTCCAGCCCCCCTGCCATGGGCAGGGACACCTTTCACTAGACCAAGTTGCTCAGAGCCCTATCCAACCTGACTTTGAACTCTTCCAATGATGGGGCATCTCCAGCTGCTCTGGGCAGCCTCTTCCAGTATCTCACCATTCCAGCTTCTAAAAGCAACCTACCTTTTCTTTGTTTGTGAATCCCCAGATTCCAGCAGCAATTTCAAGGCCAAAAATCAGAAAAAGGAAGAGGAAGAACTAGAAAAGAAAGACCACATTATTAATGAAGACCACAGCACCACACATATACACTGCAATGTTTGTCCAGTCTTGTGGAAACTGTCACTCCACCAGGTTCCAGTTGGAGGTCTGGAAAGAGGACACATTGCACTGGGTCAGCACTTCTTCCCAGGAGCGTCAGAAAGCCTGGCAGTGCTTTCCAAGGAGAAGTCCTGCTTTTTGATCAGTGTTAATTAAAACCAATCATCTGTTAACTCAGACTTTGAAGTTGTCCAAGTCACTCAGACACATCACAACAGATGACATCAATTCTTTTCCCTCATTTGTCACTCCTATTGCTTTAGGAGTCATTACTTAATCCCTACCTTGCCACCAAGGCCCAGAGACCTAATGGTCACTTTGTTGTGTGTCCCGCAAAATAGAAATAAAAATGTTCTCTATGTTTAACTGACTACCAGGTCCAAAACATCACTATCATTTAAGAGCAACTGAAAGAGAAATATTCAAAATTACAAAGGGCTAGAGGCATCATTTTGCAAGAAATACTTGAATTTAAGTTCTTCCGTGACACAGAAGGGGAATTGTTCTTTCAACAGCTATAGTAGTAGTCTTTTATTAACTAAATCTTCTGGTTATTTGGATGAGTAGTTCTGCAAGTGTACAGATGTGCACAAACCCAGTAAGCTCTACTGGCTCCTCCAGTCTGAAAACAATGAGGTTGCTCTCCAATAATTGGCTTGCAGAGCAGTTGTCAACTAGAAGAGCTCACCCTGTGATTATGAACAGTAGAGGCTTGTTGTGTCAAGGATTAAATACCACAGTTCTGGTTTCAAAGATTAAAGATTGCACAGCCTTCAAAGCCCAGGATAGACTATCTAGTAAACAGCATTACTCTTATCAGAGTTTTAGTCCTGTGTTCAGACACACTCCCAGTCTTGACACTTCAGTGCCTACGTCAGGCATATTCAGCCTCTTGATCCCATTCTGGAGATCAATACAGCATGGACATTTGGATTCAGGGCCAGAAATGGAAACTATGCTTAACAGTTTAGCATTATGCAAATGACCATGAGTTGAAATGTTGTGGAGTCAAAACACTCAGCACCTACTGCCCTTTGATTGCAAGTATTTTCCTTCCTTTCTCATCATGCTGCTGAAAATTTAAGCACTAGTCTGAACACTTACCATGCCAAGCATACATTGAGATTCCTGCAATGCACCACAGCATCCCAAGAAACCAACCAGCATCATAAGTGCACCAGCTCCAATAAGGATGTAAACACCTAGGGAGGAGGAAAAACATGTATACAGACTAGCTGAGACTTCAGCAGCAGCAAGGTATGAATTTAATTGCTCCCCAGACAGCATTTGTAGCTTTTGCCAAGGTTTAAGTTTCTTTACTGAGGTATTCCAAGTTTTTTTTTTTTTTTAAAAAAAAAGTCAAAATAGAAATGAAGAGCTTTGGGTTTTATTAAGGGAAATATATTGATAAATAAAACCTTCAACAATTTATAACAATTAATATGTACCACTACTGCAGCTTCACAAGTTGAAGAAAATAGGCACCATAAAGCCATCTAAGATAAGGTATAGGATACTTTTGAAAACTATCTCAGAGCCAGAGAGATCAACTTATCTTTAGATGAAGAGTGTGGGGTGGTTAGACAGCTGGAATGGTGATGTATCAACTGAACTCGTGAAGCAGACACCTTTTCAAACTGTAACAAGTGGCCAACCTTGTAAACTATCCTGACCAGAATTTAGGTAGTGTGAGAGAGAGGAAACATTTTTGGGCTAAATGACTGCATTTATGCCAAATCTTCTGGTTCATAAACTTGAGAACTGCCAGTTTAAGCATCATAGTTGCAAGAAGGTGAGAGCAGCAAGATGCGATAAGCAAGACAACTCCCAAAGGATGGCAAGAAAGTACTACTGGGATGGTGAAACAAAGACTCAGCACAAAGCATATAGAATGAGTATGACATTTCTATCCATATGGACAAAAACACAGTCCAGAGACCCAATCAATACTAATTAAAACAGGCCAGATGAAGGCATTTGCAAGTGATATATTCTAGATGCAAACCAATAAGATTAGCTGCCAAAATAAACATCTACTTGATTAAGCATATGTAAGGGATTAAGCCTGACATTTCTTATAAGCAGGAAATTCCAGCAGAGATTTTTTTTTTTACCCCAGTTTAAACTTTTTCCATTTTGAAAAAACAGAATAAGCAGAGTCCATCAGTACCTCTTATTTCAGTCTCTTCTCAGTTGAATAGAAAGCCTTTGAAGTAACCTGCTTTGTTTCTAGGTGTAAAATGACAGATTTGTTCAATTTCCTATTGGAAACTACAGTCAGTAACTACTCCCAGGAAAGAATGTTAGATAGCAAGCTTCTTTTTAAAACTCAGTTTAACCTACAGAGATTTCAAGTGGGTTTCACTGGCTGCATTCAGCCAGGAGGCTGAATATCACATCATAAAACTTTTATGTTTTAGGAGGTGAAAGAGTTGTTTTAGACTACCCAAAATAAGATTTGTTAAATATTCAGCTCAATGGCCAAATTTAGATTCCTTTTCCCTTTCCAAGGTCCAGTTAAAAGCATCTGGAAATCTTCCTGGCAGCTGCAAGAACCACCCAGTTTGTTATGATGCCATCAGACATGAGCTTCCTGCATGCCTGCAGCCTCTTCACAAAGTCCCACGAGCATTTAAATATTCCCAGCTATGGTCTCTGATAAGTTTAACTCACCTAACAGCCCTGTAGGTACAGGCTACCCTGGTACTACAAGGTTGCAAGACAAGTTAGATCTACTTGCAACTGGCACCTGCATGCAGGTCTTTGCTGACCCTTTGGACACCCGTTTGGGTGCTGTGACAGGTTGAGTTGCCCACATAGGAACCAGGTTTTTTGGCAAGCGAAAAACCAAGCTAACCACCCTGTGGATGGCTAATGAGTGACACCACACAAGACATGGCAAATCCAGGTGCTACAGGGATGTGAAATATGTATGCATAAGGATTGTCCAAACTGAAGACAATAGACACACATGTAACAAAAGTACATACTTGAATTTGCTTTCCTCACAACTGTTAGAGGTCTTCAAACATAGCTTCTTGGTTTCACAGAATCACAGAATGGCCTGGGTTGGAAAGGACCTTAAAGATCATCTAGTTCCAACCCCCTGCCATGGGCAGGGACACCTCCCACTAGACCAGGTTGCTCAGAGACCCATCCAACCTGGCTTTGAACACTGCCAGGCAGGGTTGGGGCAGCCACAATATCTCTGGGCAATCTGTTCCAGTGCCCCGTCACCCACCCAGGAAAGAATTTATTCCTAGTATCTAATCTAAACCTCCTCTCTTTCAAGGCTGAAGACATTTCCTTTGTCCTGTCACTCCAGGCCCTTGTAAATAGTCTCTCTCCATCTTTCTTGTAGGCTCCTTCAGGTACTGGAAGGCCACAGATCACCCCAAAGCCTTCTCCTCCCCAGTCTGAACAATGCCAATTCTCTCAGCCTTTCCTCATAGGAGAGGTGCTCCAGGAGTTTGAGCACCTACAGGTGACAACCAAAGTATGTGTCCCCCTGCCCAAGCCTAAAAGTGACTCTAGAATCTGGATAAAATACAATTCAGTTGGGAACTCCTATGACATTAGAATACCAAACTGAAAACACGTGTTTGTCCCCTAACTGGGCAACCTGCAAACAGAGTATGTCAAGGAGTATCTTCCACCTGGCCTGGCTAAAGCTACATAGATCCAGGCTGGCTGGAATAGTTGCTCATACAGAGCAAGGTATTTGTGCATCTTTCCCATTCTGTTCAGTAGAAATTAGCAGACACAGGGCTGTAAGAGTTAGACAACAACATATATGCTCGTTTTGAGAGATGAGGCAATAGAGTTGTGGGTTTTGGTAGCTTAGGTTGGTCGCTTTGGAGAAAAAAATTAGTTATTGATGTCATCTGTGGTTACTCATTTAGTTTAACATGAAACTTTGCTGACTCATATTGTGAGGAGCATCAGCAAGAGACACCCGGTGTGGCTACCTGGGATTACTAAATACTCACTGACAGGAACTAAAGAGGAACTGCAGGGTTTGAGATGGGGAAAAGGATGAAAACAAGAAACCACTGCTGTCTGCGTAAGAGTTCAAACAGAAGCTGTCCCCCAGCACCAGCCAGGGGAAGCTGCTCTCTGCCCCATCGAGGCAGTTTAGGGATGTTTTGTCTCCATCCTTTAAGGAAGGACAAATGTCTCTCAGCAGTCTGGAACTCACAGCACAAAAGAGTAATCTCTCACCCTGAGTAGTCTCCCAGCTCACCTGTGTAAAACTTTGTGTTGTTGGATTCCAGTTCAAAGATGCTTTTGGTCTGTGAATCAAAGCGAAGCCATAGTCCAATTGCAAGAACTGCTGTCCCTGCAAGCTGTAAGAACAAGGAAGCCTTGTTAAATAACACCAATACATTCACCCTTGCACTAGTAACAACATCAGAAGCAAACACAGGATATAGCTCTTAAAGAGGTGGTGACAAAGGACCAGCGTAAAAGGATGGGGATACCAAAACATGAACAAACTTAGCTCCAGACATGAGGCACCTCGTTGACAGATGCATTCATATAATATAAACTCCAATGCCACAGGAGAACAATGCCATTCTTGTTCCTTACTGAAAATATCCCAGGTTTAGCCAAGTGTCAGTATTTCCACTGACCCCTCCACCCATTGTTTTATTCTGGGTGGTTGCAATGACATTGCATGGCTTAGTGGTCTTAAATCTTCACACTGAAGGACAAGTGTATCACAAGAAAAAAGTGTCTTGTGAGGCCAGCTGGAAGTTTCAGTGTATTAAACAGACTGGTAAGAGTTCAGTGTACCATGGAAGGGAGTTCAGAAAGAGTGCTCTTCCTTGCAAAACAGGATAAAACTAATCCATTAAGTCACCAGACTGACAGCAAGAAGAAAATTCAGGCTGCTGGAATACCAACACTGCTGTGTGCTGATCCAGAACAATACAATCGAATTTTAGATAATATTTAGGTTTGTTTTGTTATCGTCTCTGCCTGTGTGCCTCCAGGTTCCTCTTAACATTGGTGCCTGTGTTTACAGCAAGTCGTTTTGTGTATAAATAGATTCTGGATTAAACATCTGGCAGAAGGCATTGGAAGAGTGTTGCAAGAAAGAGGGAATTGCATTCTGGTAAGACAAACACAGACAGCTTGCTTTGAACAGACCGATTCCTCTCTTAAAAAGAAAAAAACCCGGGACTGTCTAGCATATAAAAAAACCCCCAAACAAACAAAAAGAAGAAACCAGGACAAACTACTTTTCAGTTCTTCCTTTAAAGACCATTTAACTACCATAAAAGCTTTACAAAAGTGAGATGAGGACAGAAATCTCAAACATTGCAGCAGCCATTAAAAATTTAAATTTAAGAGAGAGCAGTAAGTTTACAAAGTCTGATGCTTTGGTCAGGCAAAGCATGCATGAAAAGAAAAACCCAACCAAAACAACAAAGCCTTATCTCTGATAAAAAGTTCCTTCTAGAAGGAAACAACATTCTTGGAACTGGAAAACATTTACTAATGTCAATTTTCAGTGAGAATATGGACAGCATTCCCACAGAAAGCATCCATGGATACACCCCTTCCACACCAACCCCTCTCTCTCCCCACAAGGAGCTTGAGAGTCTTCTCCCTGCTCTGGGAATGTTTTTTCAAAGGCAGCCCCAGCCTTGCTGGACTCCTCTAGCTGAGGTGTCACCTCCAAAAACAGGGAGGGCTTTGAAAATTCACACAAGGCAGAGGATGGAGCTAAGTGAGGGCTTAAGAGAAGGGGAAAAGCATCCCAACTGAAGTGCGAAGGGCTCAGATATCAGTGAAGAAAAGCAGGAGGCCAGGCGTGCCAGGAAAACCTGCATTTCTTGTATGGCAAGCACCTGACTCCCAAGCTGGCTCCAAAGAGGAGCTGCAGGGGTTTAGCTTCGAAAACAGATCAAGAGATACAGCACACAGAAAGAGTCAAATGCAACAGGAGGTTTCCAGACCTATGCAAAAGGCACTTTGTTGGTGTCATGGGTGCATAGGTGCAGGCTTACTCACAAAGCACACCTGCACATTCCTCCTGCTTGCCTTGTTAGGGCTACACTGACAAAATTAAAGTATGCTGAAGAACCTTGGTAGGACACAGTATGTCACAACAGTGTTATTTCAATTTATTGTGCCACAGCAGCACCCCAAGGGAAGGGAGAGGTGCCACAGGGGGGGCTGGCAGAGAGAAGAGTTGCTGCTCTACCTGCACTCATTGCTACAGCACCACTTCAAAGAGCCTTTGCAATCTCATCTCACTTCAGTGCCTCAGTTCAAAAACCAGAAGGGCTTAGTGATGGAAAAAACTCATGCACTGTCAGCCTACAGTCACCCAGTATTTAATAATACTCTCTTGGAGATTCACTTTCCTGGGTCATCAGTCTTCAGCTTTTACAGGAATCCAGAACGGCAGCATTAGGAGAAGAAACCTACAGCCTCTGCTTGTTTTGCTAGGAACTCGTGAATTGCAAAGCCCCAAGCCTGAACACACCCAAATTGTTCTCACCTACCCGTGTTTGTGGCTTGACAACCCCCAGTGTTTGAGTAGAAAGCTCAGGGGCAGCACTGCAAATGGTGCAGGGCACAGAAAAGGACTGTAAAACTAATACCCAGAGCTGATCCCTCAGCAGACCTTCAAGGCCAGAGTATTCAAATTGTGAAAAAACTGTCATACCACAATCTTGCAGATAATCTTAAAATTCCAACGAAAAGAGAAGGCTCAGTTATGACCTCTTTGAAAACAAACTAGTTGGCTAACATCAGGGAGAGATGCTGTACCTAATATAGCTCCTTTCAAGAAACCAACTTAACCCTTCCCCACCACCACCCAGAGTTATCTGGCATGTTTTCTCCTTGGAAAAGAAGTCACACTGTGAAAAAGTGAAGATAATGCCAAGGAGGCAAGAGATTTATGGGATCACAGAACAGTGATAACACTTAATGCCAGTGAACTGCTCCACAGGACTAAAAAACCAAGTAGAATTAAACATAAGTGATAATACTGTCTGTGGTAGACTAGAAATAAAATGCAGCTCCTTCTTGCAAGGATAAGTAACTTGTTGTCTCAGTTTCTTAGGGAAAGTAACCTTGTGTTCTTGGTTTGTGCTCTTCCTGCCCACAAAGCCCACTGAACTAAAAAAAGGCAGTTTTAAAGGAGAGGGCAAGGGAGTAATTTGAAGCTTCAAGTTTCCATCAAAATACAAGAGATGAGAACACACCAACACCAGCCTCTGAGGAAGAGGCAAGCACAGCCCAGAAGGCACTTGGCAGCACCTCTGACCAGTCTGGCACACCAGAGGCTGGTACAGTCACCCTTCTGCTCACCAATGCTATGCCAGCAGGTTTGGCAGCAGTGTTTTTCCTCCCTGGGAAAGGGATGCAAGCCCACTCACCTTGGCTGCATGGAAGCAGATCCCCAAAGACCTAGCTGTTGGGTTTTGATTTGTAAATCCACGTGTTTTCCCAGCTAACAAATCTGTTTTGTCATAGGAGTTGAGCAATATAGAGCATTTCTAAGCAGATCTATCCTGTGCCAAAATAGAAATTTAACAGAAAAAGAACGCCTCTGTTTCCCTGAAGCTAGTCACAGTTTTGCCAGGTTTTGCATACACAAAGAAAAGAGCAGGTTTGTGTGCTTATAAAACATGTAAGTAGTATGTTTTTGTAGTGACAAGCAGAGCAAAAGGAGATCAGAAGACAGTTCTTTTCAATCTGACCAAAACATGAAGTTAAAGGGGTACTACTCGCTCACTGTATTGGAAAAGCCTGTGACAGTGATTTTCCAGTAACAGTGTGTCTTGGCACAAGTAGGCTACAGACTTTCCTGCTCAAGCTAACCAAGCTTCCTTGTGTTTCCCCTAACACAACCCACACCTCATTTCGGCTCAGCTTCTCTGTTCTATAGCTGCAATGGACATATGCTAAGTGAGGATAAAACTACCTGGTCACTCCTAGTCCTATGAAGGCTTCTTAGGTTGTTTGCATCACATGCAAATATACCCCCCTTGCCTCAAAAGCTCATCTCTGTCTGTTGCAACAGGAAAAAAAACCCAGTTTTTTTTTGGTCTGTCTTCCTTTGTTACACAGCCTTGCAACCCTTCCTAGTGAACCTCAGGCACAGGACTTCCCTCTTCCCATCCCACCCCACACTCTGACAAGTGTCTTGTCCTAAGTCAGCCCTTTCCACTGCTCTGGTCCACCCCTTGCAAAGGACGTGGCTTTGCCTCCGGCCATATCTAAGGGTGTGTTCCCGTATCTATCTTTGATACTCTGCTTTCTTTTAGGCCTTACATGTGACAGCAGATAACTGACAAAGGAGCTGTACTACTGCAGGGGACACCCAGGATACACCTGAGATGAGAAACAAGCTGCCTATCCTGGAGGCAGGAGCCACACAGAACACTCTGCCTTCCTCCCCTCCCCATCCCTGGCTAAATGGCGCATGAGCTTGGACTCCAGCTCAGCACTGAATGCTATCAACCAATTCCCACTGCATTTTTATCTTGCCTCTAACACCCGCGGTTTCACAGACACGATCTCCTAGCAGAAAACTTGCTCAGAGAATCATTAGATTTAATGATACTGGAGTTTTTAACACATGTTAAAAACTTGAGCTTTTCAAGCTCATAGACAGCACTGTCAATTTCGTTAGCATGTCCCATAGAGCACAATGCATGACACTACTTCTGAAAGCTGGAAAGTTTTAAGTTTAACCACTGTTTTTTTCAAAGACCATTTTGTTCAGCCTCTTCTGACCTTGTCAACTTTATCCATCTTGAGAAAGGACAATCCCCAGACAAACACACCACTTGCTACAGACACCTTACAGCACCTTATCTTGCCAGGGACAGAACGACCTCTAAAGGGGCTCAAGGTCCGAACAGTCAGCAAGTCCTTAAAGCTGGCAGATAAAGCTTTGGGAGGAGGACACCCTCCCCCAGTATCCTCCAGCTTATCACCAGCCCTTCCTTCACTTCCACAGGGTGGAGGCATAGACAGGGAGGAAACTGGGCTCTGCAAGAACTCCTAATATTTGGATCACAGCCTGTAAAAAAAGAAAAGCCTCTGTACGGGGAAACTATGGGTTCTGCTATTTTAGCACATTCAGGCCAAGCTTACATACAACTTTTACCAAGCTCATGGCATTACCTCTAGCACAAGGTAAGTCAGTATGTGGAAATATAGAAGTCAATCAAAAATAAATACTACTTCCAGTGTTGTCAGCTAAGCATAGAATCTTATTAACTTTTTTCTTGAAGTAAGAAAGTATGTCAGGCTTGCATGACTGTTCCTTGCACGGGCTTTCCCCATGATGTGTCAAGAATACATTAAAATCTCA